TGGGTCTGGGGCGCCTTTTGGGCACGTCTCGAAAGCCTCTTGGGACGGGCACTGGCCCCTGGTCGCCTTGGCGTCCTCCCTGCGCCGCGGGGCCCCATGCAGGCCCAGAGGGTTTCTCTCGGGTCTCCCTCGGGCGTTTTGGCTGGCACCCGGAAGCTCGGGAGGCGTATGAACACTGAGAAGGCGAGGTCTTCGAAAAGGGCATGTGCGTTCTCAGGGTTTGAAATCTTGGCACCCCTCGGGGCTCTCCAGCAGCCCTGAGAACTCAGAGATCTCAGGAGCAAGGCACCCTAAGAAGATCCGAACAGCGTCCTGGGGGGGCCTTACGAGAGGCCCCGGAAGCACCCGAAGGAAAAAAAACAAAGAGCCCCGTCAGAGAGGCCCCAAGGGGGCCTCAAGAAAGGGACCAAGACAGCTCAAAGAGGCCCCGGAACGGAGAGTTGGAGTGCCACGAAAGTCGTCGCAAGTGTTCCCGAAAATGGCCCCAATGCGCCTCGAGAGAGCCTCCGAAGGGCTCCGCAAGTGCCGACGGGATTCTGAAAAGGTCTCAGGTGAAGACCCTACGGGGCCCCCAGAAGCGCCCTGAGAAGACGTCTGAAAAAGGCCGACGAGGCCCCAGGAAGAGGCTCATAAGTGGCTTACACATGGCGCCGAAATGAGCTCCCCAAGGTCGGCGGCGAGCGAGGGGGGAACTGAGAAGGAGAAGGCCTTCTCGGAAGGTTTCGGAAGTCCCCCGGCATTGTGAGAAGTTCTCGAAACCTTCCCCGAAGACACACAAAAAAAACCTCTCAGAAGGCGCCAGGAGGGCTTCTGAAAAGTCCCGCCGCCTTCTGAGAAGGCTTTGTCCTTTTTCACTCCCCCCATCGCTCGCCGCCGAATCGAGATGGCGCCAAGATGTGCTCCTCAAGAGGACTTAAAGAGGTACCCAGAAGAGCGTCAAGACGGCCCCAGGAGCAACTCCGCGGAGGCCCCACAGGTATCATCTAGGGGACAAATTAAAACACAGCTATTCCCAGCACTGCAGAGCGCAAAGACGAAACGAAAGGGTGGCGGGGCAAACCGAACCGCCGGGGAACTCCCCGCGACCGCCTTGGCGCTCCGCGTACAGGGGCGGAATCCTGCGCACCCCGTCTTGGCGTCAGGCCACGCCGGCCACGCCCTGCGAAGTTGGCAGTCCAGGAGCCAGCCCCCCCCAAAAAGGGGTGAGACGCTTCAACCTCGAAATGGTGTGAGGAAAACCAATTGTAAAGTTGGAGTTTTAGGACCCAACAAAACGCCGTTCAGCCTCACCAAAAAAAACGGATGACATGTGTCGCCCCCCAAAACCTTTTGATTCTGGGAGCTTCAAACAGAGCAACGGGTGACACGCGTCACCCCCGGAACCGCGCGATTAAAAAACAATGATGAATCTTGGATTCCAGGAGCCAACACAAGGCCGCCCAACCGCGCAAAAACAACGAACAACACGTGCCACTTCCGAAACCGCGTGAGAATTCGCCGGCCCAACGGGCCAGGGCGTGCTAAGATCTCCGGTACCTGGTTAACAGTATTTCTAGTTCGCGCGCGCGGGGCGGCCCCTGGGGGTCCCCAGACGAAAAGTACCCCGGCAAGGTCCCGGCAAGTCCCCGGCAAGGTCGGGCCAGAGATGCCGGAGCCCTGTTACAGGGCCCCAGGACGGGCCAAGAGGTCCCCAAGAAGCCTCCAAGACGGTCCAAGAGGGCTCCGAGACGGCCAAAGATCGCCCCAAGACGCCCAACAGGGCCCCAAGACAGCCCAAGAGGCCTCCAAGACGCCCCAAGGGCCTTCCAAGAGGCCTCCGAAGAGGGCCCCAAGAGGCCAAAATCGTTGATTTTCATTGTTTTTTTAATATGTTTTTTGCGTTCTGACTTTTTCGGCTTCCGGACGCTCCAAGACGGCCCAAAAGGCCCCCAAGACCGCTCCAAGACGGCCCACGAGGCTCCCAAGACGGCCCCGGAACGGCCCAGGAGGGCCCCCAAGACGGCCCAAGTGCCGCCCAAGACGGACCAAGAGGCCCCAAGACGGGCCCAAGAGGGGCTCAAGAGGGGAACCGAGAACTGAAAAATCGAGCCCTCCGCCCCAGAAGGCGCCCAGGAGGCCCCAAAAAGGCCCCAAGAGGCCCCCAAGAGGCCCCCAAGACGCCCCAAGAGGCGCCCAAGAGGCCCAAAAGAGGCCCCAAGAGGCCCCAAAACGGCCCCCAAGAGGCCCCAAAACTCGGCTAGCCCACAACGGTGCGACAATATGGGCCGGCGGAATTAGCGAAGCGATTAAATAACCGGTTGTAAATTTAGGATCCTGGGAGCCAGCAAGACGCCATTCAGCCTCACAAAATCAACGGGTGGCACGCGTCACTCCCAAAAAAGTGTGAGAAAAACCATGTTGTAAATTTGGGACTGTGGGAGCCAACGTAAGGCCATTCAGCATCACGCAAACAACGGGTGGCACGCGTCACCCCCGCAACCGTGTGAGAAACACCACTTGTATATATTGGGATTCTGGGAGCCAACATAAGGCCATTCACCTTCAGAAAAACAACGGGTGACACGTGTCAACCCCGAAACCACGTGGGAAAACCATTTGTCCATTTATAAGTTTAGGGTTCTGGGAGCCAGCACAAGGCCATTCGATTTCTCAAAAAAACAGCGGGTGACACGTGTCACCCCCGAAACCAAGTGAGAAAAAACAAATCCGCCGACCCTGTCGGCGTTTGTGGGGGGTCTGTCCGGTCCCGTCGACGGGGAACCTTTTTTCGCCCCCTCCTTCCCATTCTCCTCCCCAGTCGGGGCAGAGAGAGAGAGACAGAAAGAGAGAGCACCCTTCCTCGTTCGGGGAAAGGGTTCGCAGCTTGAGGGGATTCCATCCACGTCCTCATCACGTCAAAGGGAGGCCCGGTCCCAGGGGGGGGGGTCAGATTCGCCTCCTCCTCCTCCTCCTCCTCCTCCTTCTCCTCCTCCTCCTCCTCCTCTTCCTCTTCTTCCTCCTCCTCCTTCCTCCTCCTCTCCTCCTCCTCCTCCTCCTCCTCCTCCTCCTCCTCCTCCTCCTCTCCTCCTCCTCCTCCTCCTCCTCCTCCTCCTCCTCCTCCTCCTCCTCCTCCCCTTCTCTGTGTCAACACCTGTTCTGCCTCATCTGTGTCGTTTTCCCCCTCCTCCTGGGGCGCTTTCCCCATCATCTTCTTCGCCGAGGTCAAGGGTCGGCGGCACCGGCCGCAAGGCCTTCCCAATATAACTTATAGGTTCTGGGAACCACCATAAGGCCATTCAACCTCACCAAAACAACGGGTGACACGTGTCGCCCCCGAAACGGCGTGAGAAAAACCAATAGTAAATTTGGGATCCTGGGAGCCAACATAAGGCCATTCAGCTTCATCAGAAACAACGGGTGACACGTGTCACCCCCGAAACCAAGTGAGAAAAAAACAAACATGAATTGTGGGTTTGGGGAACCAACATAAAGCATGTCAACCTCACACAAAAAAAACGGGTGACACGTGTCACCCCCGAAACCGTGTGAGAAAACCAATTGTAAATTTGGAATTCTGGGAGCCAACATAAGGCCATTCAACCTCACAAAAACAACGGGTGGCACATGTCACCCCCGAAACCATGCGAGGAGAAACAAATGAGATCCTGGGAGCCACCACACGGCCATCTAGCCTCTCAAAATCAACGGGTGGCAGCGTCACCCCCTGAAACCTTGTGACAAAAACCCACTGTACACGTGGGAATCTGGGAGCCAACAAGAAGCCATTCAGTCCCACAGAACCAACGGACGACACGCGCCACCCCCGAAACCGTGGGAGAAAACCCAACTGTAAAGTTGGGATCCTGGGAGCCAACATAAGGCCATCCAATCTCACAAAAACAATCGGTGACACGTGTCATCCCCCGAAACCAAATGAGAAAAAACAATTGTAAACTCCAGTGTTATAGGAGCCAACAGAAGGCCATCTAACCTCGCAAAAAAACAGCAGGTGGCACGCGTCACCTCCGCCACCGTGTGAGAAAAAAACACTTGTACATATTGGGATTATGGGAGCCAACATAAGGCCATTCAGCTTCAGGAAAAAACAAAGGGTGACACGTGTCACCCCCGAAACCGCGTGAGAAAGACCAGCTGCAAATTTAGGGTTGTGGGAACCAGCAGAAGGCCATTCACTTTCACAAAAAACAGCGGGAGGCACGTGTCTCCCGGAAACCTCGCTGGAAAAAATGAAACTTTGGGATTCCACGGGCCAACACGAGGCCATTCAGCCGCACAAAAGAACGAGCGTCACGCGCCACCCCCGAAACCGCGTTAGAAAAAACAAGGGTAAATATGGGATTATGGAAGCCAACATAAGACCATTCAGCCTCAGAACAACAACGGGTAGCACGTGTCATCTCTGAAACCGCGTGGGAAACACCATGTGTAAACCTGGGAGTCTGGGAGCCGACATAAGGCCATTCAACCTCACCAAAACAACGGGCAACACGAGCCACCGCCGAAGTGAGAAAAACTCATTGCAAATTTGGGGTTGTGGGGTCCAACATACGGCCATTCAACTTCACACACACACACACAAAAAAAAACGGGTGACACGTGTCAACCCCGAAACCGTGAGAGAAAAACGAACTGCAAACTTAGGATTGTGGGAGCCAGCATAAGGCCAATCAGCCTCAGACCGCGCGCGAGAACTGGACGTGACCGCGCGCACGCCCGCGCAGTCGCGTGCGTACGTACGCACAGTGCCCCAGCAAGACGAAAACTACCTGCTCGTCGATCGAAGTAGCCTGCACATCTGCACACGTGCAGTGCATGCGCACATACCAGTGCATGCGCGTGCGTGCGCGTGTATACGCATATACGTATACAGGCATACATGTGGGCACTTACATATATATATATATATATATATACATATATATAGCATGTATAGATATCGCATCGTTCGGTCCCCGTGGAATATGTTCCAGGGGGACAACTGAAAAAAAGTCATTCATGGCAGTCGGTTTCTTGGGGTGGGGGGAAGGGGGGTCATCATTATGTAAAAAAAATTGGGCATCAGCTCGAGCGGAGTACCGTGTGGCGGCGCAAAAAACGGCTTCAACAAGGGCGCCAGAGCGCTCCAACATGGCCGCAATACTGCGTCAAGGTGAGCTTGAGATCCGAGGATATGATTTTTTCAATCTGGCGTTTTTTCCCGGATTTCGGCCTCGGGTGCACGTTGTCGGGCCCTGGGACCATCAAAAATGGATCGGGAACGAGAAACGACCCAAGGGGAAGGGGTCGGGACCTCTGGGGCCGCGGATTGAAAAAACACATCGGCGGATGTCTGGGAGGGCCAGGGGATTTCCCAAGAGCGGCCCCATTCGATTCCAAGAGGGGACGAGATGGCCCAAAGAAGCCCTTACGCGAGGCGCAGGAAGGCTCCGAGAGAGCCTCGCGAGGGCCCGAGGGAGTTTCAAGAGGACTCAGAAGAGCTGCAAATGGCGTCCGCGTCAGCCCGCGCCGTGGGCTCCGGCTCGAGAAGCCTGGAGAGCCTGGCCAGCACCGCACGGCTGTGCACGCCGCCCATGGCCACCAGCGCACGGGCGCAGCTGCCCTCGCGGGAGAAGAAGCTCTGGATCCTGGCGGCGGCGGGCTCCAGCTCCGTGTCCTCCAGCCAGCCGACCGCCTGCCTCATCGAGCCCAAGCCCCCAGCGGCCTCGAGAAGCACCACCCCGAGGCTCCAGCAGTCCGCCGGCTTGGCGGCGTACGACGCCTCCAGCACCATCTCTGGGGCGATGCACGGCAGCTCCCCGCACACCGTGGTCGACAGTGTCGACCCCACGAAGTACGACGCCGCGAAGAAGTCCACCAAGCGGCAGAAGGGCGTTTCCGACTGGTCATCTACCATGATGTGATCCAGAGACACTTGCCTGTGCACGACATCCCGCGAATGGCAGAAGGCTAGCGCTCCTGCTATCTGCGCGGTGCAGTCCACAGCATACTGCGAGTCGGCGCGGAACCCTGGCTGGTCAAGAAGGTGCTGGCTCAGATTCTTCTTGCCCCCGACTTCGAGGGCCAAATACACCCGCGAGAAGCTATGGAGCACGGAAGTGCACTGGACGATGTGCGGGTGTCGGAGAACGTCCCTCAGGAACCTCAACTCGCGATAAATGTTCTCCACGTCCCAAGGGGTTACATAGTTTGACTTGTCGTAGACCTTGAGGGCGATTTTCTCGGTCGCATTGCGACGCGCAAGGAGCACGTTGCCCTTCCTCGGGTTCAAGTGGTGCACCAGCTGGAGATCTCCCACACTGGTAGCCGTCTCCACAAGACTATGATCGATCGGGGGGAACGCGCTCATCAGAGCTTTCGGGATGCTCTCCCACAGCAGCTCGTGGTGGTACTTCAGCATAGCCTCTGCATTCTCGTCATCACTTTCGACCATGCGCTGTGCACGCCGGCCACTTGACACGAGCCATGCCCACTGTTGGTTGAGCTCCGCGCACAACCTATCTGGATCGTCGCTGGGGTCGAGAATCACCATGTCAGCACCCATGGAGAGGAACACGTCGTGGCGTATCATGAGCAATTCCACGTACTCCCGGTTCATGTTGCCTGGGATCTCGAGCAGCTGCAGCAGGGCCACACGAAAATTGCTGTTCCGGCTCGATCTGCCTCAACAGGTTCTTTATCATGCGTTTCTCGTACTGCGTTTCGAATGTGCACGGCACCAACAAGGTGGTGCACCCAGACACCAGCAACGCGATCTCCCTGGCGTCCCAGTGGCCCTCATGGGCGGCGTCCGGCGCAACGAGCTTGCACGGCTTGTGTGGCGAGTCCCACGGCACCAGGGTCGCGAACGCGAAGTCCTCGGGGAGCTGCGAAGCCATGCGGGTAAGGTAGCTCTCCACGATGCTCTGGCTGGACGCGGGCGGCAGCCGGCCCGCTCTGGTGCTGCTCATGGCTCAACGCCTGACTTGCAAGGCGAGGTGGCGCAGCTCAACGCTATACAACGCAGGGCTTTCAGCTGGAGCACCCTAGCGCCAGAATGGCTCGGAAATGCAGCCAGCACTGAGGTGGGAGCACGTTCATGAGTAAATTGCTAGGAAAACTCAAGCGAAATCGCCGCTGTACCGTGCTGGATCAGGCGGTCTAGGGCCCCCCGCCCCCATGGAGGACTCTTGTATGGTCAATGTTTACTTTTATTTGAACCCTTTAAGGAAAACAGCTCGGGAACAATGCTGGACATGGGCAGACGTCACACTCAAAGCCGTATTCAAGGATATTTGCCCCTGGAAGGATGCTGCTGTTGGTGTTGCGAAAGCCGCGGGCATGTGCATACGAATGGCGCTCGACTGACGCATTTCACTTGTCGCGGAAAGGATCAGGTGCTCAAAGCGCGCGCATTCAATTTCCAACGACGTGTGGGTATGGACGATGTGCAAAACAACTGGTGTGCTTGCCCAAATCAAGCACGCATCGCCGGTGACTTGCGCAAGTCATATTTCCAGCGTGAAATTCAATGTCAGCGTTCCATTGCAAATCAGGGTCCGAAGAGTTCACGCGAACGTCGTCGCGCGTAAGCGCCGAAATCCTGCATAAGCCATAGACGCCGCAATGACTTCACCATCAAATGCCCCGATACTGTTTTGATGGTTTTGTCAACATGGATTGTCAAACATGTGCGCGCTTTTCGCCTTTGGAAAACCGACTTTCGTCTGAACATTTGCATGGCATTCAAGCAAACGTGCGTCTTTCGCTCGCGCATGTCGAAATCATTCGGACGCCCTCGCGCGTGGTGGTGGGGGTCACGACCCCTGTCAAACATTACCATGCGGGCCAATCGCTCCCGTCGACCGCGCGCGCATGTCGAAGTTCCTTCACCACGCTCATCACCGACACGTGGACACCATCATCGTCATCGGCGTGATCAACATCGGCGCCGTCATTGGCATTGACACCATCATCGCCATCGTCGTCGCCAACACAGCTACAATCGTTACCGCGTCTGCCGTTGTCGACGTCGCGATGATATCGCGCCCGCCCGATTTACCGACTCGCACTGAAGAGCCTGCGCGTCAGCGCGGCCTGCAAGACGCAATGGGAAATTCCCAACGGTGAACGCCACCCCGGCCGCGTCGGTCGCGCCAGACTGACCGGCCGCTCTGCACGCGAGCCTGCGCGCGCAAGCACGGCCGCAGCGATGCGCCAGCCAGCGCCAAGCAGTCATCGCAATCGCCGCCGCGTGGGCTTTGCCAGCCAAGGCGCGGGCGGGCGGGTGGGATGAGTGCGCGAGCAGTGGAGTGAGTGGACAACACACTGCGAACATCAGATACATGCACCGCATAGATTCTCCCTTCTTACAAATACCATCTACCACCACCCCGGATCCGGGACACAGCTGCGCTGCTGCTGCTGCAGCAGGGCGTTTCTGGGCGCTCTTGGCCACTCCTGGGATGTTCCGCATGGGCCTCCGGGGCGGTGGCAACGCCCCAAACGATCCGGAGAACTTCGCGGAGCTGCCCCCCAAGCGCCCGCGACAGTCAAGGAACGCCTCTACAAAGCCCAAGAGGGCCCAGACGGCCCAACATGGCCCCAAGACGCGCCCAAAGGGTCCCAAGAGGACTTCCAGAGGACTGCACGAGGCCCCCAAGAAGCCAAAATCCGCCAACCCCTTGGAACCACCGCGTGTGAGATGCTTCCCCTTCCCCAAACCCCTCGAGCCGCGTCCGGCCGGATGGAAGGGGAGGGGGGGGCAGGGGGAGGGGGTGGGGGGGCGGGGGAGGGGGGCAACAATGCTGTCCGCACCCTTGGAGCCTCAGGGGGGCACAAAATTGGCCAAGAAGGCCCGAAAGGCCCCCCAGACGGTCCAAGAGGGCTACGAGTCGCCGAAAGATCGCTCCAAGACGCCCAAGATTGCCTCAAGACAGCCCCAGAGGCCCCAAGACGCGCCAAGAAGCCACCAAGAGGCCCTACAGAAGCAAAAATCGCCCCTTTCCCTTCGCAAAAAGAAATGTCAATTTTTAGCACATTCGCCTCGTGGACTTTCACGAGGCTCACAACGACCCAAGAAGCCTTCAAGATCGACAAGAAGCCCGCAAGAGGGCTCCAAGACAGCCCCAGAGGGCCCCAAAACGGCCCCAGAAGCTTCCAAAACGGCCCAGGAGGGCCCCAGGACGGCCCCAAAAGGATGCCCAGAGGGGGAATCCGAATGGACATTTCGAGCACTCGGCCCCGAAAAAATCTAAGGAGGCGCCACGAGGCCCCCAAGAGGCTCACACGAGGTCCCCGAGAGCCCAAAAGAAGCTCCTAAAGGCCTCAGCACGGCTCCCAGGAGGCCTCAAAGTGCTGCCAAGAATGCCCAGAGAAGCCCAAGAGCAGAGCAGCGATCCGCCAACCGCCCCCGACGATATCCCAAGAAGCTGAAACCCCAAGATTCCCAAGAAATCGCGCGCGTTCCGCAAACTCAGATTTTCACTCGTACTGCCGCCCCAAGGGGTCGGCGGTGCGGCGTCAGCCAAAGAATTTTGGATTCCAGGGGGCCAACATGAAGCCATTCTGCCTCACAAGAGCAAGGGATGACGCGTGTCCCCCCCGAAGCCGCGCGAGAAAATCAGCCTGGCGAAGAACCCAACCCCTAATTTTAACGCGGGGCGACTATAAACAGGACCGCTCAATGCACGAAAACACCTCGAAGGGCCTCCAAAATCCCTGGATCGCTGCGGCCGCATGTGGACCCTGCCACTGGGGCCTTCGGTGGAGCTCCCTAGGGGCCACGAACCGTGTGAGGGGTGTGCCGAAATCTTCGGGGCGGCCGCATGTGGGCCCTGCCACTGGGGCCTTCGGCGGAGCTCCCTCGGGGCCACGAACCGTGTGAGGGGTGTGCCGAAATGGCCGGGGCGGCCGCATGTGGACCCTGCCACTGGGGCCTTCGGTGGAGCTCCCTAAGGGCCACGACCCGTGTGAGGGGTGTGCCGAAATGGTCGGGGCGGCCGCATGTGGACCCTGCCACCGAGGCCTTCGGTGGAGCTCCCTAGGGGCCACGAACCGTGTGAGGGGTGTGCCGAAGTGGTCGGGGCGGCCGCATGTGGACCCTGCCACTGGGGCCTTCGGTGCAGCTCCCTAAAAGGCCACGAACCGTGTGAGGGGTGTGCCGAAATGGTCGGGGCGGCCGCATGTGGGCCCTGCCACTGGGGCCTTCGGTGGTTCTCCCTAAGGGCCACGAACTCTGTGAGGGGTGTGCCGAAATGGCCGGGGCGGCCGCATGCGGACCCTGCCACTGGGGCCGTCGGTGGAGCTCCCTAGGGGCCACGAACAGTGTGAGGGGTGTGCCGAGATGGTCGGGGCGGCCGCATGCGGACCCTGCCACTGGGGCCTTCGGTGGAGCTCCCTCGGGGCCACGAACCGTGTGAGGGGTGTGCCGAAATGGTCGGGGCGGCCGCATGTGGACCCTGCCACTGGGGCCTTCGGTGGAGCTCCCTAAAAGGCCACGAACCGTGTGAGGGGTGTGCCGAAGTGGTCGGGGCGGCCGCATGTGGACCCTGCCACTGGGGCCTTCGGTGGAGCTCTCTCGGGGCCACGACCCGTGTGAGGGGTGTGCCGAAATGGTCGGGGCGGCCGCATGTGGACCCTGCCACTGGGGCCTTCGGTGGACGTCCCTAGGGACCACGAACCGTGTGAGGGGTGTGCCGAAATGGTGACGAGAATGATGATGGCGACGAGGATGACGAGGAGTATGGAGATGGATGGTGATGATGATGATGATGATGATGATGATGATGAAGATGATGATGATGATGACGACGACGACGATGATGATGATGATGATGATGATGCCAAAGATGAAGAAAGGTTAGGACAATGATGAGGACAATGATGAGGACAATGATGATGATGATGATGATGATGATGCTGATGATGATGATGATGATGATGATGATGGTGGTGGTGGTGGTGGTGATGATGACGATGCTGTTGATGATGGTGAAGATGCTGTTGTTTTTGTTGTTGTTGTTGATGATGATGATGATGATGATGATGATGATGATGATGATGATGATGATGATGATGGTGGCGATGATGGTGATGGTGATTATGGCAGTAATGGCGATGACGACGAGGGTAATGACGACGGTGGTGATGGAAAGTGGGACGTGGGGGATGGAAACGAAGCGCGAGGGGGAGGAGAAGAGGAGCAAGAGGAGGAGGGGGAGGAGGAAGGATGGAGCGCGGCGCTGCGAACTCAAAACGAGGACCCAACACACAGGAGGGTTGGGAAAAACAGTTGCAAATTAGGCCAACCTCACAAAAAAAACTTGGCGAAGAACCCAACCCCTAATTTTAAAGCGGGGCGACTATAAACAGGACCGCTCAATGCACGAAAACACCTTGAAGGGCCTCCAAAATCCCTGGATCGCTGCGGCCGCATGTGGACCCTGCCACTGGGGCCTTCGGTGGAGCTCCCTAGGGGCCACGAACCGTGTGAGGGGTGTGCCGAAATCTTCGGGGCGGCCACATGTGGGCCCTGCCACTGGGGCCTTCGGTGGAGCTCCCTAGGGGCCACAAACCGTGTGAGGGGTGTGCCGAAATGGCCGGGGCGGCCGCATGTGGACCCTGCCACCGGGGCCTTCGGTGGAGCTCCCTAGGGGCCACGAACCGTGTGAGGGGTGTGCCGAAATGGTCGGGGCGGCCGCATGTGGACCCTGCCACTGGGGCCTTCAGTGGAGCTCCCTAAAAGGCCACGAACCGTGTGAGCGGTGTGCCGAAATGGTCGGGGCGGCCGCATGTGGACCCTGCCACTGGGGCCTTCGGTGGAGCTCCCTAAGGGCCACGAACCGTGTGAGGGGGGTGCCGAAATGGCCGGGGCGGCCGCATGCGGACCCTGCCACTGGGGCCTTCGGTGGACCTCCCTCGGGCCCACGAACCGTGTGAGCGGTGTGCCGAAACGGTCGGGGCGGCCGCATGTGGACCCTGCCACTGGGGCCTTCAGTGGAGCTCCCTAGGGGCCACGAACCGTGTGAGGGGTGTGCCGAAATGGCCGGGGCGGCCGCATGTGGACCCTGCCATTTGGGGCCTTCGGTGGAGCTCCCTAAGGGCCACGAACCGTGTGAGGGGTGTGCCGAGATGGTCGGGGCGGCCGCGTGTGGACCCTGCCACTGGGGCCTTCGGTGGAACTCCCTCGGGGCCACGAACCGTGTGAGGGGTGTGCCGAA